TCAGCGCCCGTGGGATTGAAGATGAGATCACAAAGAGTATTGCAAAAGCTAGGGGCGCTTTTGCTAACCTTCGCCACTTATGGCGGCGGCGCGACATCACACTTGCCCTGAAGGGTAGAGTGTACAATTCAGTGGTACGTTCGACTCTACTGTACGGTTGAGAAACCTGGCCGCATAAAGCAGCGGACCTGAATAGGCTAGTTACGTTCAACCACCGGTGGCTTCGAAATTTAGCTCAAATCTGGTGGGAACACCGTGTGAGCAACGAGCCTGTTCGACGCCTTGTTTTCGGCACAGGAAAAGGAAATGAACCGCTCAGCACCGTCATTTCGTGCACCAGGATCCGATGGCTCGGCCACGTGTTACGCATGCCAGCCCACCGACTCCCGCGAGGTGTGTTGTTTGCGCGCCGGGGGTGTGGATGGAAGAAGAGGAAGGGTGGCCAAGCGACGACTTGGTCGAGAGGAATGAAGGCACTCACTTCTGAGCTGGCCTCGGTTGGAGCTTCTGGGTTCCTTGGTTGGGGTCCGAAAGACGATGAACACGTTTGGTTGGACACACTTACTGATATGGCTAGGAGTCGACGTCAGTGGCGTTCGTGCTGTGAGTTTCTTTGTCCCACCCCATCCCTCTTATCCTCCCCCTCCAACCACGATTTCATTATTTAGCTTTATATAATTTCGCATAGTATTATTTTGGTGCACAGTAGCCGACTGGTAGCTTACCGGAACGATGCCCATCCGTTACCGGTAGCTCAGCCGGCTTACACCAATTTCTTTTTTCTCTCCTTTTTTCTGTGTATTGCGGCACAGTAGCTGAGGTATTCCCCGCCTCTAGCTAATGTGTATGATGATCATGAAACTAGACGAAAGAAATAACTTCGTTTGTATTCCAGCGGACGGTTAGCTACAGTACTCCACAAAATGGTGGGTTTTCCCTGGTAAGCGCTACACAAAAGCCACAAATATTGATTTTACAGCACAGTGTATGTGACACACACTTAATTAGAGTCAAGGCCGCTTGAAAATCCGATTAATCATTTTCAATCTACAGACGCTACCCACCCATTTTCATACAGGTGATGCCACCAGGCAAAGTAAAAATGTATCGGCACATATACAAATCCACGTAACAGCTACAGACATGAGGACCTACGTAGGTGTTTAACTATGTAAATGAAATATCATCTGGCAAAATTTAAAAAATGAAATAAAATGTATACCCATGCAAATCATATTGCTACTGACTCGCTGGCTTAAAACAAAAAAGTGCCACACTTGATTTATCCGCGTGACAGAACGGGCTGAGGCTTCATCGCCTATAATGTATGCATAAAACAGCCCTAAAAAAGACGTTTGATACCCACTTCTGATGACTTATTTACTATTTTGCTACACGGGCACAGTGCCAATTGGAGCATGGAAGTGCAGGTGAAACCCATGGTGGGAATACCCTGCATGGAAACAAGTCCCCTGGGGACAGTTCCATGGATGACCGTATTACTTTACTTGAACTTTCCGTGAAATCTACATTTATTATTGTTCCCAGTTTCTTTATCTCTATAATATTTTCAAGCTGCTAGTTACTTCAAAAACCCATACGAGTGCCATTGAACAAAATACGTAAAATTAACTATTTCATGCGACCACGTTGTACATGTCGGTAAGACCACCCAATCGGTCTGTGCTTCACAATGTTGAGTAATATAATGTTTATTTATTATTTATTGATTTATATATGTTGATCCTTCGTTGCCTTTGCCATTGTAATTTTTGTGCAAGCGGGCCTCACGTCGTCGAGAATAAACGATTTATTTCTGTGTGTTAGACCTTCGAAGTCAAATGGTTGTGCAAATCTTGAACATTATTATTGAATGCTGAATTTATACGCAGCACGACCTTCTGTCGAATACCCCTTCCAAACCATATCAAAGCATACAATTAAAGTTCAATAATTAAGTGTTTGTACGCGCCACTGAACAGAATGTTTTCAACCGCGACAGAAACAACTGTGTAATAGTGGTAACATGGTAGCAACAGAGCATTTCAAGGTAAGAGTTATGCTCGGTGGTAAAATTTGCAGGTTAGTTCACGTAGGACATTATTCGAGTTAAGCAGAATTTTCACTAAATTGTGGACGATTGTGTAGATGTAAACAATTAGGCTGGCATATTTTGCGCTGTGCCTTCTTCTGGTAGATGAAGTTGCTACCCAGTTCGGCGGTACACGACGTCGAAAGTGCCTGAAATCAGTGAGTGTTTCGAACCAAATACTTTGAAGGAAATCACACAGAGACATAATGTTTGGGCGATTTTTTGAGTTTGCTTGCAAATGCAACGAATATGTGTTTCAGTGAATTAACAAGCATTTTGAAAGTGCTTACATAACGTTACTGGATAAACGCCTGAGAGTCGTAAATTATGTGTAGCAGACAACATGTGTAGATAAAACCTGGAACCAAATTGTTAAAGGCGGATAATTATCCCGAGTGAAATAATTGCAACCACCTTCACCTGGCCATGATGAAAATTTCGTTCCCATAAAGTGACTACAATAAAACGGTTCAGCTTGAACACAAAATACTTTGCTAATGTGGAGAAGTCTAACTTCTAAGCATAGTACGGAACTTGTGAAAAGCTGTAGCAAACCCCTGGTAATCAGACGCTTTATTACATGAAATCGGAACATTTTACGCTTAGATGCGATCATCATCAATCATCTGGATATCGACCAATGTAACTGTTTATCTAAACGACTTTGCAGCTTCGCTCAGGAGGCTGAGGTTAGAGTCGTTTTGTCTGCGATTGTGTCAGCTGCATGTTTCAGCAAAATGACTACTTTGGGGACGATAATGAGCCAACGTATTTAGAATAAGTCCTTTAATTGACACCGGAATGCGTGTTCTGTGAAGAGGAGCTCTGGTTGCCAACGAAATAAATTAAGTACATTTTACGCAATCATCAATTACCAAGTGGTCTAGAGAAGGATGACCAACAGAAGCGGAAAGAACTAGCAACCGCGTTTTGCCGTTGAAGTAAAACAATTAGTCTAAGCCGATGATCTGTGAATTTGTTACTATTTTTGGCAACCATAGAATAAATGCCCCATCAAAGTTACTGCGAAACGCGAGGAAGGTTGTTGTTAGCACATTGGCATTAGAAAACGACGTGATAAAGGAACATACATTAGCAATGGAGTATCAGGTAGAAGTAAAAAATATACTTCCAATTCAGCTCAAATAGTCTTAGCCAGGCAATCTGCGTTTGTCAGCAAATTAACTGATAACTGTTTAATTGCTGTTGTTACAGCTCAAAGCTTGTGTTCTATGCTTATTTCGTGAAAAACCCATAAAACCACACCTAAGTGTCTTCGCTAAATATAAAAATATTTCAAATTAACGCAGCTACTGTTGTGATAAAGCACTGGTCGCTGTCAGTTTAGGAAACAACCACAGCGTTGTGAAGCATAGGATAGACTCCCTTAACAGCTGAGACCGAATGTTAGGAAGGTAAATTGATTCCGATATTACACATCTCGCACAGTGTTTCTTGATAACTCTCTACTGGAAAAAGTTGCAGTGAACTGTGTTTAGCGATTTTATGTTTGCACCTAAAATGAACTTTTCTGTAACATTTCAACAGCCAGCCGATTTGAGTAGAGGAGATTTGCCGGAAGCAATTTACGTCGTTGAAGTGCAAACTAAAAGTAGATACATAAGCACTCAATTTTTCGATCACTTGGTTGGTTCGTGTATAACGCTTTTGAAGAAGATTTCATGTATTTATTTATTTAATTGTGAACAGTTCCGATTGACTTAGGCTTAATGGCAAAAGTTACCTATTATTTGTGAAGTGGCACCTATTATCACTGCAAGGCCATTTTCCAAACGGAACCTCTTGCGTACTATATACCCACGTCCGTCATTTTATTCTTCTAGTAAAAACTAAGCAATACATGACTCTCATTTATATCCTACACTTGTCAGAACGTTTTTCTATGCTCTAGCACCCCACTTTCTCAGACATCACGCAGCGAAAGAGAAACAAATCCGAGCTGTATCTATGTATCATCATTGGAATAATTTAAACCCATAACACGAACTAAAGTGGAGTAATACGCAAATTGTATTACTACCTGGTAAAAAATGAACTTACTTTGCATAAGGTAGATCGATTAGTATAAAAAATGCACCTGAACCTCTTATCAATGCATAAGAAGGTAGAGCTAGATTACACCCTCAAGCTAGATGCACTCCGTGTGCGACACCTGACTGGCACTTGAAATTTCTTGCAAACTTACCTATGTATACCTCGTCTGAACACTTACGGGCCCAGTACTATAAATAGTCTAAAGCCAACCATAACAAGGGGAAATCTTGATATCACAACAGAACCCATAAAATACTCCCCCCATGCAGCTAGCAGCGAACGCGAATTTATCAATAATTATGTGTAGATAATAGATATATATAGTCTACAATTTTTCCGCCAATCAATTTAACTTTGCAAACTTTAGCAATTTATGTTTGAAACTTTGTTGGCTGTTCTGATTAAATATTTTGAAACTATCTCTTTCTTTCTACCAAACCTTATAAACTATAGGTTCATTACTGATCCAATTATCTCTAACGTTCATACATGAAATTATGATGAATTGCGTTGTTGATATCTTATTTCTTTTAGTTTTCTGCTTAACTTAATGCATTAGCTAAACCAGATTGTTGATATGAGTTTGCAGTGTGATTCTACCTAAAGAAAGCTTGCTTATCTCTCCTCTACTATATACGTTTATTTTTCTTTTGTCATACATGAATCCGAACAACTTAAGTCTGCGCATTTTTCATACCTTTCTTTTATAACCAAATCCTGAATACCAACTTGTTCTGCTATTACAGTAACTAATAAGAAGACTTATGTATGAGGGCAATATTTAGGAATAATTTTAGGTGAAAGGTTGGTGAGCCGATGAATTCCTCCCTGTCAAAATTTGTCTCATTTAAAGTTGACAGATGCTCTGCGGTTTCTGCACAGTGGTCAATCCCTATTCCACAACAATGTATGTCCAAGTGCTATTCTTCTCACTTTGCGTAAACAATGGCGCCTGTCCTCGTTGGCGTTTGTGGAAGCTTGTCAAGACGACAATAGCTTGAGGAGTAATGGCAAAATCAGCATGGAGAAAACCATCAGAACGCATGGAGTAAGTGCAGTAGTGAGGCAGCTTCATGCAGTAGGATGCGAATTTCGTTCCGATAGAACTTTATCAAATTGCTTTGTGTCAATAGCACACATTTTCACATTTTAAATTGTTTATAGTATGCCCTTTATGACGTAACTATCAAATGAGATAAATGTTCCGATGCCATTTACTAGCATTCTATTGAAAAATAGCACTCAATATTCAAAGAACATACTTGCACATTCCAAGATTCTAGCCAGTTTTCGACGCAAGTATCATAGGTGCCCCCATTGAAGCAATATGGCGTTACGATCCATATCGATGTTAGTAATAAGCAAACAGTTGCTGCCTAACTGGGTAACCACAGTATTGTTCTAACAAGGTTTGTTCTTAGCTGAACAGTAATTTGATTGGTAAGGTGTTTGTCAACACACTCTTCCAGTTCGTATATTATTACGAATGCGAACAGTTCAATAGCAACAAGGATACCTCTGACAATGTAAACTTGTTTCGCGTCATATTCACTGACAAGTAGTTCAACGTAAGGACTATTGCAAGAACAATTTGTCTTACATGGGCGTAAATGGATCCTACGATTATTAACTACTTGCACTTGAGACTCCACAGACTTATCATTCACGTGCGAAAGAGCAGCCTGGAGAAACGTGTGGGAAAACGCCACGCAACAGAAGTTCGTGTTATAGTTAAGCGATAATAATTTATGCTTCTAATATCAGTAAATGGAGCTGCGAAACGAAAAACTATGCGTCTAAATAATATTTTTGTATGAGGAGAGTTTACATGTACCACATTCGAAGTTTAAATGTATCGCTCTGCAAATTTAATTGATAACCGGTTTTGGCTCATTGCTCCCCGTGTTCGGTCGTCCAACAGCTTGACTTAACCAATCATTAATGTTTACTCGTTTTCCTATAATCTGTGCGTGTAAGCATATATGTGGAATAAAGCGACAATATGCAATTGTGTGCATATTGATGGATCTGTAATCGTATGCGGGCATGGTTACTGATATTTAGTCTGTGACTGGCTACAGGTTCAGGTGCTGGACATTTAAACGAACGATAGGTGAATTCAGCTTTTAGTGATGCAGCGTAAGTTATCCCGTGTAATGTTTGTGAATGTATGTCAGTTCGATGCAGTGTAGCGAGCCACAACGGATGGCAAGGAGAACGCGGATCAGTAAGTGTGTCCTAATGCAAAATGATTACGTTGCGGATTGTGAGTAGGTGTGATAAAAGTGTCCCCCTAATCCACTTGTGATTTTTCCATGTTTTGACGAATACATCATACCCGAGATTCCGTCACATTCAAGTTGGCATAAATAAGTCAAATGTTCTCTTGATGTGGACGTGGTTCCGGTTATGAAGGTAGGTAGCTAACATAGTTAAATACAACCAAAAAAGTGTAAATGCTTTAGAAACTATGAATTTATATCTAACACATTCATATTAAAGTGATTTGGAGATTCGCTATTCTTCTCCCTGGCAGTCGGTTCACTAATTCCACAAATTAATTTGTTTTAGCAATACTATTTTAGGTATAGTTAAGGGTATTATCATAGGCTTTATATGATATATAGGCGCAGGGGACCTAGTTAATTCAAACTAGAACGATAAGTCTCGCTCGACAAACCAAAACGCAATTATTCCAATCCAGCATTAGTTTTGTCGACCCCAGCTTTTTACTCGTTTGTAAATTTGAGATTGGTAGAATGTCTCACAATTTCGTGATAGAGCCAAGATCGTCTTAAGCTTATTGCTGTGTAGTATGATGCGTGTTATTTAGTTAACTAGAAAAAAGCAAAATGCTACAGATAGCCTTCTAAATAATATTCCAGAATGTCATGCACTTTGCAGCAAAATACAAGTGTCTCTTATTAAACCATATCCTGTCCAGTCGCTTGCAATTAAAGATTAATTTTAATTATTACAATTGCCATTATATAATTAAGGCCATATTTTTATTTGTTGTTTTTACTGGTAGGGAATAATTGTTTGCCCGTACTCTCTTGCTGTTGGCTTAGGTACCGCTCAATAAATTATGACATATCATAACGCATTTGATCGGAGTGTTGTGTTTCTGAATATTTATATAAACAATAAAAGCCAACTTTCTCTGAGTGTGTCACTAAGAACGGCTTGTTTTGTACATTAATATAATAGCTAACCTCCATTTGTAAAGCCGCTTGCATACTGACATGTTTGTCATGGTGACTACTTATTATTTAACGCCGTCACGTTGTCACAGATCCAAAAGCATAATCTTGTTTCATCTCCATGGTCACGAAAATTACCAAAAATGGCGCGTCCGGATTCTCGGTACGCCGCTCCTGAGTGTCTGGCACTCACCACTAGTTGGGCCAAATCACTCATATCCAGACACTGCCGTCCGACACCAGAAGGTCGTGAAGTTGAGTATGAAGGTCCAGATGAACATCCTGTGCCGAAAATAACCAAATCAAAAGCAAAAACTCGCGTGGACGGAGTCTATACTAATTTGAAATCTGAATCACCAGGCACTTGGTCAGACATGTTCTCCCTCGGACTTCTCATATGTTCGATGTACACTACTGGACAGCCGTCTAGTAACTCGTGTTTCCGTGTCACCTACGAACATGAGGCTTCCTTACCAACCGGTCTGCATGACAGCGTGCAACAAACGACAAGTGAACGCGGCGTGCTTACAGAAGATCACTCAGAAATGCTCTCAAAAGATAAGAATGCGGAAATACGACATGCTAAACAACTCGCCGACGATGAAACTGTGAGTTAAAGTATATAATTTCTGATGTGTATATGAAGCACAGTTTCCTAATTACCTCCGGTTCAAAACATAGGCCCTCAGTTAACAAGGAGTTAAGAATTTAGCCAGTGAGATTTACGTCTAAATTTTATCCAGAAGCGTTTATTCGATTCCACAGGCAACTGAAGGAAAACAGGTCGAGGGTACTTACTGTGCCCAAATTGTCTGTCTACCTTCAATTACCTTTCAAAGGTGATATCGTTGCCGCCCAACTAGAAAGTCGTGTGCATACAGCGATTCGTCGGACGTTCAACGCCGCCAAATTCTGCCCCATTTGGGAGACCAGGAAGTTGTCTATGCCTCCAGTGAAGCCTACTCAACCGATCTCCGCCACAACCCATTGCATTTACCAATTCGTTTGTAAATGCGGTAGTAGTTACATTGGCAGAACAGATCGATCCTTGGATAAGCGCATTGGAGAGCATATCCCAAAACGGATTGCCAAACTATCGACACAACAAGCAGCCGATCGAGAAAAGATATCTAAGCTGCCGGACTCATCGATCGCCAGACACATACTAGAATCAGGCCATCAGGTTGACCCTAGGTCCACATTTACAGTTATCTATCGAAATGGCAACCCCAAAGTGGTGAGGTTTGCCGAAGCGGTGGCACTTAACTGGAATCGCTCTATCCTGTGTGTACAAAGACCCTTAACAGTCTCCCTGAAGCTGCCTTGGGGCTCATGACCCTAAGATCAGGAAGCTAATCTGTCATTGTTGTGTCTACATAATTTTTCCCTTGTGACCAGTTTCAAATCTTCTATTTTTCTGTCACGTGATTCATATATATGTTGTTAGTTTGCAAGTGAGTAGATGACACAAATTGGTTCCATCTCGCAATACCAGTCTTCTTATTGTCCTATTTAGAATAACTTTTATCAGTTTGAACGTTTTGAATTAAAGCAATGGTAGTTCATAGCACTTCATATGCAGGTAATGTGGATTAATGTATAAATTGAATTTAATAAAGTTGTTAGGGTACATCTCTGTTCGATATGGTCTTTAAAATCGTATTTCTCTTATATGCCGAATAAGCTGGGCATATTTAAACTTTGGCTATTTTTGAAGCAAGACTCTACCAACATCTAAAGGGCTGTATTGTTTCACTTCTGGCAGCCATTGAGCAATCAAGTCTAACTGCGCAAAAACAATTGTTATCAGAAATGCTTGCGGTTGCAAAAAACAACTACTGTATCTCATCCATTATTTGCTAGTATTACCCGTTTCTATACTACTCGGCAAAATTTTTCGAATTCATTAAATTTATTTGAACGCCAAACATATTGCTTGTAGAAGACTCAAGAACTAACGAACTTTCAGAATCGGCATATCTAACAGCCGCAGACAGCAGCGCTACTCTGTTCTGATAAATGAATTTGGGCTTTCATAAACTTTTTAATGGACATCACTGTAAGATGATTAGCAAAGTAAACGACAACTGGCAGCTTTAAACTTGGTTAACTGAATATACTCCAACAATTTTTCACGTATGCAATGGTATCAGAGCAATAAACGCGCTCAAAAATTAATCATTTCCGTTTTTCTCCCTCGTGAATTATTCCGCAGCTCCCTTCTGCTTTTCGAACGGCAGTAACACGAATGCCGCTCGAGTTAGTTGACCCAGTGGAAAAAATGCTATCTCGAGAAACCCATAGAAGGCCAACCTCACAACTCTTTTCACTGGTAAGTGAATTACAATTGGTGTGCACATTTCCGCAGTGAACACATATCCTAGTGGGTAAATAAACGCCAGTGTGTACATCAAATGGCAGGGCTAGTTTAATCAAAATCACGTTTTATTTACCTGCGATCCGCCAATGAATTAGTTTGTATCATCTACTTGTCTGCATCATGAAAACTTGATATAGGATGCGGGAAATGCAAAAGCTGTAATTTAGTAGATAAGTTGAACGGGCGCCTATCAGGTATTTCCTTGAGATAGTGCTACAAATTTAAACCTGTAAAGCGCACTCTTGCATAAATTGGAAATTCACTTTCAAATTCTAATTTGTTATTGCTTTTTAAATTTTACTGGAATGATTGGCCGTTTTAGACAAACGCCTTAGGCAAATAAATAATACATTTATTTTGACAATTATTACGTAGAAGAAAAAACCTGACATTAAACACCTAGTCAAATTAGTGCAAAGGTGATATCGTAAATGCAAGGTGCAGATGCTATATCACAAGAAGTTTATGGCTTGTTTAGTAACATGGCGATAAATCTTTATATTTAGAACTATATTTGATGGTGCACTGCCAAGGATAATTTGTTTAAAATATTTAAGTCAAATCAACAGACAAAGTGTTTTTATCTTAGGTTCGTGATATTCATACAAAACAGGTAATACACAGCATTTGTTTACCTATTAAAATCCAAACATAAAGGGGACATATGACCGCATTACCTTTAATGTATTAACACGCCGTTTGATATACAAAATAAAAAGGTACAAAAGCGATAAATTTAACCACGCATAAATTCGTTAAGTTGCAGATAAAAGATCAATACAAAATACCAGAAACTTTTGCTATGAGAAATCTTCAGAGTATTTCTCATCAAGAAAATATAATTATAGAATGTAAAAGCAACGCAATAACTTACTGAAGGCCTGAACAATAATTGGTAATTAGGAAGCATATAAATACACTGCTACATTCCATCGATAGTTCGGTCGATAAACTTAAAACTGGCGTAATGGCAGCAGATGGCGGGTTGAAGATCGTAACACCGCCTCCATTTTCCTCATGGTCAAAGCCAGATGTTTGTTTTCACAAGCGCCTTTTTCTTTTGCAACTTCGGCTGCATCACTCTGATGACAACAGCCTCAGCCGTCTCCATGGTGCGCTTTCTGATCAGTTATGCACAGCGTTTAATTATATAAATGAGTCAGTCAGTAATTTTTCATGTCCACCTTGGAAAAAGTGCTCATTGGTGCTATCGGTAAACTTCTGACTATTCACCTTTATGTTGACCCCAAGGTGTGCCCAGCAATCCGTTATAATATACACATAGTTTTATATCCAATGTGTCTTGTGCCACATGTGCAAGTGATTTAATTGAGAATATACCACTTGGACTGGACCGGGATTCTGTCTTCTAGACGCTGGGTAATAAATCAGCTAATCAGTGTACTTAGAGAATAATGGACAAAAGGGAAATTCCCGTTAATTTTCTCAATAGGTCTACGCATCTGCTAGTGAGTGAAAACGGTTACGCATTTCCCCACTGTGGAACCCCGCAAAAAGCTTCACTTATTTGCCTCTAACACTTTACTTCAGTTGAAATTCTTTAACGACCCTGCTTTGATATGCTTGGACGTTATGCTGAATTTCGAAAACAAAACTCAAGAGGATAGACTCAAAGGCCTGCAATCAATCGTCACAAACCTGGACACGCTACCAAAGGTAATTATGCTGCACATCATGAGGTGTACGTGGTATACTTGTATATTTACTTTTCGTTGCATATAATCATTGTGTAAATGCAGACGTTATATCATTTATACGCTTTAAACCAATAGTAACACAATCGCCCCAATTCCTACCAATGTTAGTTCAGCAAAGATCCAGTTAATAAGGTTTAATAACTGACTACATCTGAACTGTGGGCAAACTACTTAGTGTAAATAAATTTTGAAATATGCAACAGATCATAAGTTTTCGAGAGGAGTAGAAGTGCACTTCACCGATGTGTGTTCCTGGCATGTTTTTTAGAAGTGATAGTACCCAGAAGCCCACATCGACCTGCTTTTATTTTCCGGAACTGCGCCTGATGGTGGATCTAAAGGGACGGCCGAGTGAGAAACGAGATATACCGTCGACATGGAAGATGACAGACCTAGCTGATTAAATTGTTTTTCCTGTTTAAACCAAAGCACCTAACATTTTGAATAGCCATGTCTTGGTTGTCCACTTACATTCAGATGGTCTCGCTGACACCGGCCATCTGTTACCTGTTTCCATTATCAGACTGAATAACTTTCAATGGTTAATAAGTACAGCATCTCTCTCCATTTCCGGGGCAAAATCAAGCAATCAGACTTCGCCATCTCTTTTCGAGCTAGCACACAGTTTTCCTCCAGTTCTATGCGAGTCCCATTTTATTTGTTCCAAGCTGTAGGGTGTTGGCGAGAATTCCGAAGCTCCAGGCACTGCACAGTGGCCCAATGCCCAGCTTAGAATTCTGATTTGCCACCTTAAGCTAAGGCTGGTGCTAATTAGTTCCAGGCAACCTGCCACCATTGACTTTCAAATGTTTGAGTGAGTTCTTAATTAGCCGGAATGCCAGCTTTGATCGATTCGTATTCATCACATCTAATTTGGACAAACGACTGGGGTTGTCCGCTCATAGCCTCCTGCGGACTTCCGCTGAAACACTTACAGATGTCGGCAAATACAAGTACATAGTCTGAAGCCATAAGTATGTATCATATGGGCCGACGATTTTGACCACAAGCTCCCACCCCTGTAACCAATGAATCGCGTCCATGACTGGTACGAGGTTTACGGCAGTTTCACCATTCAAATGCAGGTACTGTGTTGAATGTTGATGCACGTGGTAAATCGATGAATATTTTCACACAGACGTAACAAGCGCTCACATCTAACATTACGGACGATTGCGCTGTAGTTGCTGCCCATACGCAGCTCATCAATATTAAAAATTTCAGTTAGTGGATTTAAATTAAATGCGACCCAGTATGCATACGACCTTAGTGACGAAGTGGCTCAGTCAGCTAGAGATTGAAGTGCTCTTTCACGTAGTCAATGCTACAGTATGTGGGGTTACATGTAGTAGTAATTAACAGGCAACTATCTAACATGTCCGACTTCCAATCTTTGAACGAGACAGGTAGTCGGAAGGGACATCAGGAAGCCGATTAGGAGATATTACACCGGAGAGTCTTTATGCTGTGGTTCAGAAATATAATCCGCCTGACAGGCATTAGAAGCTACGTTATCTCTAGAATTGGACGATGATAAATTGCCACCGATGTCACATAAGGGCGATAGTCGGGTGAGGATTGAACTCGTGTCTTGCAAACGCGTTTCCGGTAAATACTAGTTATCCCGCGATAGTGAGTCTATTTTTCGAGCAATTTCTGCCTGTTGGCCAATCCGTAACAAAGTGCGTGCTATGAGGGATAAATGTTCAAGCAAGGATTACTGAGCCCAAATGAAAGCAGGAGCACTGTGGTCGCCTGTTACTCAGACACAAAATTGCCGACATGGCAGGACTGATGCTACGCGACTGTGTGTTAGTATAAAAACAGAAAATTAACGACCACCAAATAAAGGTGGATGAGTGTCGAAAATTGGTGGTTGAAAAAAGTATAAACGTGAGGCTGACTTTGTCGGGGAAATAGAAGACGCCTTGACCTAAATAGTACCACCTTCACATCTAAACATCAAGCTCGGTTCAGCTTATTAAGCTCCGTTAAATATCCTCTGCGACAGCCAGAACATCACATGATTCATGGATTTTATTACTGTTTGCGTAGACAGGATATATCTTGGTTACCCAGGCCTAGACAGACCAGTGATTAGGGTCCTCCACTATAGAATGTGTAGAAAAACATATCCTTAAGCAGCGCATGTTTAACGGTAGATTACTTAGAGGACCTTTACTAGATTATAGAACGCTCCATTTAATTAGCACCAATTTGAAACATCAGAATATTAAATGTGTCTAGTCTCCAACGGTTGACAAACTTGGTATGAATGGCGCCGAAAGTGCAAGCAACGCCACCCAGCGCTCCCCAATGGATACTTCGTGCAAGCAGTATGTCTCGTTTAGTCGCGGTATGCAGATGATGTTAACTGTCATCGAAATATCCTAAATACAATGCTTGTGGTTGTGTTTGGTGTTATGCTTGATCCTTTCTTTCTTGGAGGAGAAAGGCATGTGGGTTCTGCAAACAGCAACTGATCAATGTTGGACAAACAGAATACTCAAATATCGTGAATGGTGCAGAATGTATACTCTCGAACTTTTCGGGCACCAAACATGTGGTAAATGGGTAATCTATAAACCACATGTTGTTAAAACCATTTTTAATTGCAATATCTACAGGGGAAGAATAATGTCCCTAACACGGCTATAATATCGGTCGAATCAGATGTTCATCAATGGCTGCAATGTGTCGATTTGTAGTAATTTCGGTAGCTATTCATAAATTGTACCCGACACCTAGGTATATTAAATAGAGAAAAATGTTCCTATATTTATGTGGTGGCGCTTACAATCGTGTTTACTATTTTAAATTACAAGTCAGGTGTTTGATGCTTAGCACAAAAGCATAATATATGCATCAGTGCGTAAGGCGGTGTACCATTTTGCACAATGAAGAGTGGTTAACAATATCCAAAGTTAATCTGCGTAAGCTCCAAGAGTGTAAAGATGTTCACTGTGAGTCACCTGGGCTAAAATTTTAATTATTCATTGTATATGGTGTCTATGAACGTTCTCGAAAGTAAGACACCGAGAATTTCGCACATAAGTGTGCCACATCTTGCTGAACATATATCCTAAATAGATTGCCGGTTGTGGCATTCACATTATTCGGACAACGAAACCCAGGATTTTATAATAATAATGAGAAGGCCAACTACTGATACTTCACCAAGAAACGAAGGGATATTTTTTGACCCGCATCTTCAAGTAGGTGACTGCAGCAAGTGAATCTCTTTAGCAAAAGCTATGCGTTACCAAATCACGCAAGAAAACGTCTCTGCATGTGTAAGATATGCATTTTTATTGTAAGAACCACCATAGCTCGTTAGTTCACTCTTGTAATTTGCTTCCCTACAGACTTACATAGTAAATTTATATCACAATATGTGTCGATGAATGACGCAATTGTATTTAAAATAACTTATGTACACCCAGACCAAAAATGATTTTGTTTAGTTACTGCAAAATGTTTATCAGGAAAACATTTATACTTTAAAGTTTTGATTAGTTGCAACTTGAAAATTCAACTTGCAAAACCACTGAAGTATGTAAAAATAGTGAGCCGATGTTTTTCATTGACCTTCAGGAAATTATATACGAGAAGCTCGTCCCGCTACTGTTAGAATGCTATGAAAAATTGAAATCTGCGGAACCAACGCCTGCTGTTTCAGACAGCAATTCTTCTTCGTTGGATGTTCTACGAAAGATCATCGGCGTTTTCGCTGCCATTGTGGAATATTCTACACCAAGAAACTATGAGAAGTATATGGAAGTGCCGTTGGTGAAACTACTAGAATCAAGCAGGGATATATATGTAAGTCCAATTCATCCTCTCTACATAGATGTTTACAAGTACGAATAAAAAACAATGATTTCTATTTGCAACTGCATAGACGTTTCATTGTTAATCAATCACCCCTTTCATAATCATATTCCTGCACGCATATACAGAGTTGATTTAGGAAATCTAAGCAACACAAAGCTTGATGCTAGTCGTCTTTGCGTTGATCATGGTAGATCAAAGCATAGTTCGCTTCTGTATGTTGTTCACCATGTAACGATTAACCTTAGTCTGGGATTTATTAATCCAAAAAAGTGAAGTAATGTCACTAGCCTAGCCAGTCATTTTGTGGTTAAGTGCACCCTATGATTTACATTAGGCGAAGCGTTCGGCTAACTAGAAAGTTCCTACCCTTTACCATACGTAGGCGATGGATTCCACCTGTCTATTATAAGCAACGTAAATTATTTTGCTCAGTTATAAATTAACCTTGAATATGTCAAATACGAAAGCACACACTTAAGTAGCACAGCAATGCCAGAACACTTCATCTACTTTTTAAACTAATGAAATCAAACGAGTAATATTAGAAGACAATTGGTGCACTAAACATATCCTCATTATAACAAATGTCTTAAAAATGCTTGCAAATAAACTTTTCCTTTAAAATTGTTTTAGTCTTCTGCCTTAGATAACAGTCATTATTTGGTTGTATATTAAAGCGTTCATGCGTGGGTCTATTGGACTGAATACGGTAAATATGCAATCTACTTAGTGTCTTAAGGTGAGGCCGCCAATATCACTTTTAAGTTAACGTAAAACTAACAAAGATAAGTATTGAAACACGTTTTTCGCTGCGTGTATAATTACTGCAAACTATGCTTTTTGGTCGATAGAACATAGAACTGTCTATGCGATTTCATACAAGACATGATTGCTGGATGCATATATACATATATATAGATAGATAAATATATATATATATATGTATATATATATATATACGAAATTTACACATCAAACAATACTTTAGGCTCCAACTTAAACTTGCTATGTAAATGGGCTAGCTAAACATAAGTGCAGGTAGAAGATCGATTTATACTATGCCGATTGTCAGCTCTCCCATTATCTTGTGTTCACTTTATAACAAATTAATATATTTCGGTAAGTGTGGTCGTATCAATTAATTTACTTGGTAGCAACATGGTTTTCTTCGTTCACTTAGAGTAAGACGGAAATTTTGCGGCAGGTTTCTCATTTGACGAAACATGCATCTGCGCAAGTTATTGAGCAACTCATGGTTCCTATCGTCTGCTCGTGTTTGGAATCACAGATTACAGACACAAAAGTAAGTTCTAATTATGTTATTTTTTACCTATTTGGTCCTCCACATTTGTGCAGATTGCGATTAAAAGATGTTTAGTAGTCAGTGAAGTAATCGTAGGTTTTGTGTGCCATTTATCGCACCTAGTCTTAAAATATTTTATTATGACTAAATATTATAGCATGAGCCACAAACGTTGCTCTAATTCACTAATTATCAGCAAGTTCGGATTATATTATAATATTTGCAATCGTAAGCATTTTGCTAGAGAAGATGACTTTCATTCCGAAACATGGCCTTACCAAGCCTTTTGTATATTTTGATATGTTTCAATTAGATGGCGTTACCTTAAATTAAAAATGTGGTCAATTTAGAGTCAATCAGATTATGTTTACAATAATGTAATCAATTGTGGAAATATAAGGTGCTGTGTAGTAAAATTATCGCACTGAGCGCATGTTTGTCATATATAGAGATAAGGAAAATCCGTAGAGAGAAAAGCGGAAAGCATTTATATCATTTTTATATATTTCAGTTAAGTGTTTCGACTACTTTTATTAAGGCAATTACGTTTAAATCAGTACCTCTTCTCCGTATATCCTTCAGTTTCGCTACTGTGACAAATGCAATTTCACCGCTTTTAATAATAAAAACTCAAACTTGCTGAACTTAAACTGACTAACAATAATGTATCTTAAAGCGCGTGTTTTGTCTTAGATGCGTATAATGTTATGGTAAATAGTCACCACATATTTATTTTAATTATCTGTATGGCAGAGTTTCAGCTTAGGCAACCTTATCAAAATTTAAGCAAAGTTGACTATTATTTGGGCAATGTCACGGAGCCAAAGAAAACACACTAGAACCAAATATATTTGGAAGGTACTGTGTGACGCGCTGTGCAATTATTCAAGCAAAGATTCAAAGAAGCACTTGGAGTTGTGCATAAGTGGTTTACTTTTGTGTATCTTTAGACGGAAGCGAAACCTCAAATATATGCACAAACTTGGTTATTGTCCAAGCCATAATTCTACTTTGACAATAGATTGTTGCCATCGAAAGTCTAAAAGAAATGTCCTCCTACTTTCAACAAACGGAGCTTGATACACTGGTGCTCAAACGTCTAATAAATTCGTATGGAAGATGGAGTGATCAATTCAGAGTAAGTTGATGCTTAAATTTACCATAATTGTCATCATTCACAAACATGTTGCGCTCATGATTTATTCAATATGGCCAACGAAATACCTTAGTTAAAAGTTGTTCTATATGTAAAGTACAAATTTCTGAGAATTAGCGTCAAATCGAAGATTTAGTTAGTCTAATGCCAATATTTCGCCATGCCGTGACATGTGATGTTTTCACATCACTTTGCGTGTCATCAATGTCAAGAACAAAACTCTCCTGATTCCATTGTGTAGACCAGCTGCAACTCCGCAACCCATTTCTGTGGTAACGCAGTTAGCTTCACCATTTTTTGTTTAGACTTCTCCCAATTGTGCAATAAAGTATTTAAGGTCAAACTTTTTCCTGTTTCATACTAGTACTAAGCAATTATCATTTACCAAAATTATCATTATGTATGGCAAAGTGTGCGGACAAGTCACAATAACAAAACTAAGGTAGAATTGCATAGCAGACTTCATCACAGGACGTTCTATTCAGATGAAAGTAATATCATCACGTAGTGGACTGGATCCGCTTGGTTGCTAAAATGCAGACATCGCTACGGCGGGTTAGATGGTGCATTCTCCTAAATCGAGAACGCGCTACAAATGATAGCCACCGGAAGGACAAGGTCACGCGTAACTCGATGCGGTGACTCAACTTTTCACGTGAGCGGAATGTTATTCTCAGCTGCGTAATCCTACGGCGTTAGCACTGGTGTCCTTCAAAGGGCATATGATTAGAAATTTAAATGCCATGAGGGCCGTAACATAAGGCAACTGGAGTGTTGATGCAGCACTGCCTGTCGATATGCATGGCCCAACTGTTTATTCAATCGTTTTTTTGTGTTTTCCAAAAGTTGCTCGCCTTTTCGTACACCCCGACTTGCAGCACTGTAGACAAGGTAGGTGCTTTTTCATATACACATTCATCGCTCTCAGTTGCCTTTGTTCTTCCGGTAATCTTCACTTGCTGCACTTGCCACACTGAAACAAATGCACGAGACGCTAAACTCATGATAATGTCTGCACTTTTTGATTTTCCTAGTCAGGCGTAAAGCTGGGAATAATATTAGTATCAAACATTCCCTACTCATACGAAGCAACTGTCGTTACGAGAAGTAAATTAATTCGGCCTTCATACTCATGCAGACATTTTCATTCTCGTGAAAGGACATCATTCATTCTTGCTTCACTTTTGTACCAGCCTAAATTATTTTTACTTTACACTGGACTTTACCAGTTTGAAAGTTGGCTTGTATACCCAATGTTAGCCATATGGTCTAAGTTTGCGCGTTAAATTTTCATCTTTAGCATTCGTGTAGCACATTCAATTATTCTCCTTCCATTTAGCTAAACTTCACCATCATCACAAGCCTTCGTCCGATGGTTCGTCAACTCAGTATTCGTGCAATACAAGAGCAGCTGATCCCATTTTTGGTTGAATGTTGCAAATCAGTTTCTGCGGACGCCATAACAGTAAACGGAAGCGGTCTCACAGATGTGGTGGAGCAGCCAGCTCCCCTAATTTGTAGTAAGCGTTTGTATTCACGTTTATTTGGAGTGCTTTTTGCTGCTTATAGATTTTACTTTCATTTATATATACTTCATGAAATTGCAGCGCGAGTGGCCAAATATATATGTGTGATTACGAAATAAAAGCATGGTACGCAGTCAACTAATTATGGCCGGCTCTATTTTGGTACGCTAACTAAATACATTGCGGCTACGCATCAGACAGTAGGCAAACCGTTTAAACAAATCTGTGGTAGTTGATTTACTGAATCGCTGCTGTTGATTACAATCTTATAATAAGGCAGCAGCCAGTGAGCAACTACAAATCGTTTGCATCAACAACAGCAGCTGGAAATGTACTCAAATTCTGGGTGCGACGTTTATATATGGATAACAACTTTGACTACATCGACTACTGCAGGACAACGATGTCAGTGGACTTTCACAACTACGAACGTTTCACGCGGGCATCCATAGGTATGGAGGCGTTGATAGTTTAAATAACAATAGTAAATGACGCCTCAAATGACAGTTGGGACGATGAATTGCATGTCCACGTGGCAATATGGAATATGCCCAGGTTCCAATATTTTACAAGCAGTTCCTGAAAAGTAATAGAATAAGCAGGGTAATATTAATATCGATAGGACAGGAACAGCAACAAAAATGTTGGATAAATTTCACACCATATTGCTCGAAGCGTTTCATGCCGCCGTTGATCAGAAGCAAACGCTCAAGAAAGAAGCGCACAAAATACTTACAGACAGCAAAAAGCGCAGAGAATAAAAGCGGACGTAAAGATTGCGGACACAGCAGATTTAGCACAAGTAAGACGGCAGATACGAAAGTTTGCGCAACGGAAGCATACGCACACGAAAGATTGCGCAAAATGGAATATTGCGCACACTAAAAGTAAACACATTATCAGTCATTTTTATCGTCACAATTGCCCATACTATCTATTTGTGGCGCTTACAAGATCCAACTTTTTGCATTTGCCTCGAAAAGTAGAAAAACGTGGCAATTATGGCATTCACACCCAAGCTGACCTTTAGTTCAACCGCTGGGAATGTGCCGTACTGCGCAGTGTTGCAAACCCATATACAGAACTACACAGACTAAGCATTGTGTGGATACTACAATTAGTCAAATTCTTAAGGATTCTGCCGCTGAAACCCAATGTGTATCAGCAGGCTGAGTAAATGTTTTCGCCTTCCCTTGCCATCCTTTGAAGACGTTGAAATCGAAGTCGGACATTTTCATCTGAGCCAAAACCACATAAGGGATGTCAGTAGCTGGGGCCCAAAAACTTCCTCTGAATTCGATGTCAGCTGAAAACTCCAACGAGCCTCTGGTTGCCCTTACCATTGTCCCGGTCGTCGATATAAGTTTAGTGTTTGATGAATTTTTGCGCCGAATTTCCAAATGAAGAATTATGTACCGCTTTTTTTCGGACTATAAGGCGCACCTAAATTCCTTATATTTGATAACAAGTTGGCAGTGCGCCTTATATTCCGGTGCGCATTTTGTGTGTATGGTTGTGCTCAGGTCTAGTGATCTCGAATCAAGTTATATGTTCCCACTGCGCTGAAAGATCTGTCGCTATGTTTTGGTGCGGCTTTGATTGTTGAAACAAAATCGCTGGTCAGGAACCACGTGGATTTCACTTCCTCTGTTGTCTAAACAGGCTTGTATTGGAGGTGGCGAACTCTGTGCAGGCGCCCACTGATTCGAGCTTTGCTGGCGACGATAAATTAACCAACAAGTCAACCATGCACGCTGATATCCCATACGGTGATATATGTGACGATTACTCCACCCGGCAACCTGACTTAGTCCAACAAACCACCTTGCAAACATTGTCCAAGACAAGCACCTGTATCTCGCTGGCTGCAGGTATTTGTTTTTACACACAACCTGCGCTGACATCTGAGAACTCTCTTGATTCGGTGAAGAAAAACTCTGGCCAATTTCAAAAGCACTTTAAGGTAATCTTTACAGACCTATTTGCTGATACATTGGGGCAGGGGGAACTAGCCTCATTTAATTACTGAGTCAGGAAAAGTGAACCTCGCAGCGCTAATAGAACTCTTCTTAAAATCGACTAACCCCTTTGTTGGCATATATCCCGTAACAGTAGTTGTATTATTGCAAACCTTCTTGTATAGGTCTGTAAAAGGATGTAAAGGTAAGAAAGATAAGTATTACTCATCTGGGCGTGCTACGTTTACGGCAGAATAAATGTGCTGGCAATATTATCAAAAGTGCCGTTCTCGTATGTAGTATCCGTACACAATTCAAGTATAAGTTCTGTATCACCTAACAGGAGAATCTTTTCTGAATCATCCATAACTGAATCACGTAGAATTAGTTTGGATGGTTGCACAGGAATAGGTAAATTTAGACCCGCTGGACAAATCAAATGACTGGTTTTTCCTTAACTCAGGAGACTTCTTGCAATGAATGATTGTTTGGACGTACAGATAACACAGTTCCTATAACCTTGCGAGTTGTAGTACTGATTGCCTTCATGTCCATTTTAATTTGGCTTCGTATAGCATTGTCGCATCGTCGTCAGTGCGCAGTCGGCTGTTGCAAGATGATGCCGTCTCGTACCTTCATCAGTAGGTGACATTTCGCAGTTAGGTTTTGCGTGCATCACCATTTTTCCACTTCTTTGAAAGTGTGCGAGACAAGATATTCCAACCAAAACCAGGTCAAAACAAGGTTGCCGTTCTGATTTCTGAAGTACTCCATATGTGACAGTGCAACAAGAAGCGGCGATGTGTGTTGCAATCCACTTAATAAACCGCGTACTCGAGTCAACGGTTTACATAAAGCTGGTAGATTAAATCGGTTACATAGAAGCGTCAAAAGTCATTTGATGCTGTCCAGCCTCCTGCTTTGCGCCTGCGTTCACAAATGCTTTCATGACTAGGTGACTCCAGCGACGAACTCCATCGACTTACCTGGAGTGGGTATCACTCTCAATTTAGTTGCGGCTTCTATAAAATTAAGTTTGTGAGCATTGCTCAGTCTTTGCTTGTTTTTAGGAACTACACCCCATTGCGGGTGTACAGCCTTTGTGCCTGTGCATGGCTCAATTAGGGGTCCCATCTAGTGTGCGATGTACTGTACGTGACTGAATCGTGACTTTCACAGGAATGCTATGCAAGTTGAACAACTGTGCTCCGACTCTGCTGTTGAATCTTGACTACCATTCACTTGCCCCCTGGTCTTATTCCTATGAGTTTACATTGGATGTGACGTATGTGGATGGAGCTACGGTTCCTGCAGAGCAAGACTATCATGGTCCATCTCTCATTAAGTGCAGGCATCCTGTGGTTGTCCACACGCGTGACAAATTAACAAGAAGAACCGAGATCGGACGCTGTCAGTCATGATTCACAGTCGCTTGGATGTGCATGCTTGGTCATAGTATTCCATTCTTTCGGCTGTAATATTATTGCGAGGTATACAATTTTGTGGAATATTGTTAATAACTTCTACACTGTTAATATGATTCAACCTTTGTCTGTATGCTTAAAGCCATTGGTAGCATGCTAATGTTACGGGGTAAAGTAGGTTATACCGTGGTGGTTGGAATTGTTCAGCCGCTAAGCAGACATTTATGAAGAGGGAAAATATAACTCGATATTAATATCTGACCAAACGTTGGAGATATCTCTAGACGCACCGCTGTATGTACAGCTGGGGTGTAAGGTATATAGGGATACCGAAGATAAGTCTTCATGTCTCGTAGTCACTAACTGTAACGTGTCCAGTAGATAGTTTTAGGCGACGTGAATTCCTAATGGGCGTATTAAGCGGAGTGCACAAACAATAGCCATATGTGACCATGTTAAAAGCTTGTAAAAATGTGTTAACTTTTAGTGTGCAACATCTTCTGTGTGTGCCATCTTCCGTGTCCGCAATCTTCGTGTCCGCTTTAAATCTGTGCGCTTTGGGCTGTTCGCAATTTTCGTCTGCGTTTAGTTTGTGTGCGCATTCATCATGGCACCGATGTCGCCATGTTCATCATCATGCTCTAATGTCAAGCGGACCGGTCTAGTACTACACACGCCTTTGCCTAGGCTAAATAAACACCCATATAATGGAAGTTAATAATGATAGAGTTAACAGCTCACGTGGGAAAGAACGGTAAATGCATGAAAAACGAAATTTCAATACCGTTGCACTAAAACAACTATTTTAATAAATAAATAAATAAATATCTATTCTCGGCTATGCGAGGCAAGCCCATGGAAGCCTGATCGGGTAGGTGCAACTGTACAGACATTTTAGGGCAATTGTAACAGCGACAATAGAAAATTGTTCATACGTTCATGATTGGAGCTGTACAATGGTGGAAAGGTGAAACAATAATTGGGCTGACGCTAATAGTAGCTTAATACTACTGAATGATCAAATAGAACATAATTGTAGGGCAATCTCGAGTGAGGTGTGACAATACAGTGAGTTCGTGCATACGTAACGCAAAAATCAAAGGTGAGAAAATAGAGTAAAGAGATGAGAGGATATGCGCGAAATCGTATAAAGAAAAGACGACAGTATATGCAGATGTAGAAGTTCCAGTGTAACGAACGGATCTATAGAGTGATGACGCTAGTTGACCTGCCAGTGTGAAGTTATGGGCTGTGACTTTATTCGATGGCGAGTCACCTTCGCCACTTTGCAGTGTTGTTAAACGGATATTTGTGGCTTTTTATAGGGAGAACGCTTGCCAGGCGATAACCCACTACGTCTTGAAACACTGCCGCCGATCCATTGAATGGCAAGTTGCAACTGGCTATACTTCTTGTTGAGCGTATATTTGCTTGGTTATTCGCAGTCAAGTTGCGTCCAGTTTTTTGTTGACTGATGCGTTAGGCGCGAGCGTATTTCGTTCCTGGGCCTTGTTCTGTCCTGACGGAATGACTGGGCCCGATTGGTAGATAATGAATTGAATATTTTTGAATGTGATGTGTTGCTTGTCTGTGGATCCGCGGAAAGTCTCCAAGGGATATACAAAGAAATATGTTGAAGCCGTGAAAAATGGGATATTTTCCCGTAAAGAAGTCGGACGTCCTCCCGTTGTAATTTGTAGAATGGGCTGTAAGTGTAGATATCCGTGGCCAAATGATCAGGCAAAGCGGGGTAAAGAGCTTCGGATGAAGTTATGCAGTAGCGAGAAATGGCCGAACCCCATTGTTCTGGCCTTGTATCGACAGGAGAATGTGCCTTCCGAAGTCAACAGGAGAGTGCCAGGTAAAAAGTAGATAAAAGAGACATTGTTTGGCCAACTGAACCCAATCTTTCAGGACTCAAGCAAACTTTATCGTTGAGAGATAACGTAGCATCTGCACGGTCGGTAAGCTGTAAAAGCGGCGGATAATCTTCCACTCGTTGCCTCGTATTGTAGTAATGTCGCAAATGTGGACGATTCCTTGTGTGCTCGACGCCGTATCTGTGAAAATCTCGGAAAAAGGGCAACGAACAAAGGCAGCCGCACAGACAGACGGAAGACATGTGTCCGCAACGCAGTCGATCAATTTCCATAATGGCTGAAATATTGTACACCTATATCATGTAATTTGTATTCAAATATCATATACACATGTACCATAAATGATAAAATACAGCGAGAAGCTAGCAGATCACGGATCAGTAGAGAATGAAAGGCCATTCCAAATTAGGAATGAAGATGGGAGAAAGAGAGTTTTTAGGGGTCCTGAAGCGCATATGCCCAATCTGTGAGACATCAGAGGCAAACGAGACGTCCTGATTATAGAACTAAATCGCTCAAAGGAAGCTACATGGAAGCTTTGACTCAGTCCTAAATTGGTAGCAATATAAGAAGTCAGGGAGGATAAACACATGACAGTTAATGTCAACTGCAGAAGGAGTGTAACAGAAAGCACGAAAAGGAAAGGAGGACGTCGGTAAAGAAGATTCTACTGAGAAGAAGTGGAAAAGCTAACTACATCCTTCAGGTGCTGATTCATCCTTGTTAATAAAAAGATTGATGAATAATGCCCAACAATGTAATTGAGATAAGAAGGCAGAGCTTTGCGCCACAATAAACAGATAGCATGAAGGGCAAAGCAGTAAGGCTGAGCGGCACAAACAATATACGCAAGCCAACGGATGCTGACGGCGTACTCCACTACACTTCGGGTCATCCGAAACAGGTTTACGCTGGGATAGCCTCAGTGCTATTCTACTGGGCACATACCTTATGCACGATAGAGGAGGACAAAAAGGCTGCGCGGAAAGTGGTAACGAGCAAACTATTAGAAAGTGGTTACCCACGGCGGCTAGTCAAACGCCAATTGCGTAACGTACTGCACCGGCAGTCAAGACCCATAGCCCGGTGGATAGGGACGGTCGGAATTCCGTACAGGGAAGGCACTTCGGAGGAAATTCCGAGGGTACTAAACAAGGAAAATATAAGGGTGATCTTGCAGCGAGGTCTAACGTTACGTTCGGCGCTGGTACACCAAGAATAGGACGAATAACTGCGTTTATAAAATTAAATGCAATGACTGTGCACAAGTGTGCATAGGCCAAACAGCGAGATAATTGCACAGACGAATTTCGGAGCAGAGGAGGCGCATTTCAAGACTAACAAGAAACCAGTTTGAATGCCTGGCAATAGTAAGCGACTCGGCCGTATCTGTGCATGTATTAGGCACAGGTCACCAGAGAGACCTCGCAAACGTGGAGGTTATTAGGAGGGATATAATACCAACCCCTCAGTGCTTGATTTCCGAGGGGGTGGAAATCGCCAAATCTGACGAATGTGTGAATAGAATGGAGGGGTAGAACTATGTACTGCGTGGCGGGCAGTCTTAAGCCGGCCAGCTTGACGAGCATTGGTGCGTGGATCATCTGGTCTGCCGGAGCCCTTGGGTCGAGAGCGAAACATTACCAAACTACTCTAGCAACAGACTGTTTCCAAACCTCGCTGCACTCAGAACATTAATGGGTGTCATAAGAAAAGGAGCAGTACGTGAATAAATTGGCTATATTGAAAGGCAGTTAGCAGGCGGAGCAAAGGTCTCATGTTGGGAAGAACAGCATTTTGGGGCCTCAGAGCCTAGATCGTTAACGTCGCGGATGTCTGAAAGTGGTCAGAATGCAGAGGACTCTTCCGACGTCGCTAGATTGCAGTCAGGCCCAATAATAAGCCGTGTATAAACCGAATTATTAAAGCCCGCTCTCATACGTCTACACACATATTGTGTGTATTTAAACTGGTTTAGTTTGTAGGTAAATCTCTTTAGGCAAGCAATTGAGATTCCATAAATTGTCAACCTCAACTTTAGTAGAAGCCTTTTCTTGAATATTCGGTCTTAAATTCCTCTGCCTTATTAAAGGTGCTCTAATGATTAAGATTCAGGTCGCAGATGATTCCTTTTGTCACAAAGTCTTTGCACGAACCGCTTGCAATTAGATTATACGGGAAAGCATGGATTGCACATTTTCTATGCAGGGTTTAATGTGGGAGTTGACTAAACGGCTTCCCAAAATGTGCTAGGAACTTAGTTACATTTTTCTTTCGGCGGTAGATTTTTGAAATCAATGAGCGTAAAATCTCGTGATGTTACGTCAAGCACACGTTGACAGCTTCTTTCGCAGCAGAGAGATAGTGCCACATTTTCCATAGTTCCCTCGCGCGAGTATTGCACTGACTTCGAGTGTAATTCTTCGGTGATACGATATACTTGACAGTAGTTACATTAAGAAAGACCTTACAACGGGGGTTTTCCACATTGTAAAATTAAGAAACAAGTAAGTAAATTTTACTTCAACCGCTTTTTAATAACCACTTAACTGGCGCGAACAAGCCACATTCCGAATTTTGTGTTTAGCTTAAAACATCTCAGAGTCCATCAAACAGTTGTTAAATTTGACGCATGATTTAAGAGCATCATTCAAGATGTATGAAGCTGTATGAGCGGTAGGCATATTTGTTGCAGCTCACTGATTCACGGCTTCAAGATGACTAAACAAGCAACAACGACTACATTGTTATCTATATGAAATTCAGCGAAAATATCTTCAATAAAGTTTAATATTTAACATCAGCAAGCTGAATCAGAAAATGCAATTTGCTTGACAACACGCATTTGTCAATATAAGATTGATGTTAAAGCAATTATATGTATGCCAATGTTTCGATACAAAACCCCTGATGTTGCAAAATTGTTTGCCCTACGACTGTCTATATTTAGGTGAATAAAATTGATTGTTACCATCAGAAGTTCCCTAATACGGTTTTAACAGATTGGTTTCTATCCTCCGCTTCGTTTTTATAGGCGTTTGGAAGGATATCATCAGCACACGAGCAAACTCACTGGATTCCCAAGTGATTACAAGACAAATCTTTCCAAGCATCCTTCCCCACATATTAAATCAGACGTTGTCTGTCACAGAGGTAAGCGCTTCGTTTTGTCGTACTAGTTTTCCATGATGTTCTCATCCGAAGTGAATTGTAAATGTGCTATCTGATTTACTAATTAATTTGCAGCAGGACACAAATACGTGCGGATATTTATGGGGCGCTTGTTCAATCTACATTCCTATGTAAAATTGTTCTACATACTTGCACTCTCTTTAAGAGTTTGGCAAAACAGAGATGCATCTGAATAGCAGACCGCAATTTTCGCTGCCACTTTTGTCTAATTTTGCGCGGAATTTCACCCCCATCTATCTGATCAGTTTCGCATCATCATGTCCACACTGTATGCCTTATTGGACACGTTGGACGTTCCGACGGCAGGATCACAGACCAGTATGGATAATGCGCAGTACTATCTCATTCCGGCTGTCACCGTGAATACACCGAACGATACATGTACAAGCAGACGCGCATCTGGAATTAGTATTGGACAAAGGTAGGTACTTCTGATATTTGCTCTCTATGATTATCCATTCAATATTGTGTTGATCACAGAGCACAGCGCGTTTATTCAGTATAATGGTTCATTGTGAAAGAAAAGAATGTGATTAGTTCTTACGTAAATCGATTTACGCAATATTGTTCCGAAATGCATGAAGGCGACCAAATACTAGCTTATGTTATTCAGAACAATATGCATAATAATGATTAAACAAATGTTGCTGTATTTAACTGTTCCATTCGTATATTTTATTTTGCCAACCGAAAGCTTCTGTTGTTCACTAAAAAGTAAATTCATTTTACTAAACATTTGCTAACTCAAGCGAAAGTAAAGACCAGCTTAAACATTGTATTAGAATTTTAGAATTAAACTAAAACGATTTAAACTAATGACCTAAATATGTATCCAGTTGCTGATGGCTTTACCCGAATTCATTTCGATAAACGTATCTTATTAATACCGTGAGGTGATTGTCCAGTGTTGGCATGCATGAGTATATGTATGTTGGATTTGATTCAATTATTACCCACGAAAGGAGCTTGACGGTAATATCATATCAGAAGCAATGGTATTTTCGGATAGGATGTTTTCCCTATATGTTGGCAGGTGATATGCCTGATAATTCAGCAGTCGTGCTGTTCTTAATCTATTGCTTTTGAAACAATTTACAAACTGTGGGTATCCTATACAAAAATGCTATTTCTAAAATTTCTATTACATGTATCTTGTGCGTAATTCTTACCGATTTCTTTTTCCAGTGTATAGTGTTAAACAAAACTAATTTTAACAAAAACCTTTGCATGCTAATTTGTGATACATTATATATTTTGACGAAAACTTTCATTACAGCGACATTTGACCAAATCAGTGGCTTGTGAATATATCCACGGCCCATTGAATAGCTGCTTGTAGGTCCACTAATTCGTTGAACAGTTATACTCCTGCAAATAGTTACATTACTCGTCCTATAAAAGGTTTTTATCCCCAACATTTCGACAGGGATTCCGACCAATGTGAAATTAATTCTGGTAAGTCAATAACAATTTATGTATAGTTAATGACATAAACCTTACATTGTACCTTATTCGGCCCAGTTTTAAAACACGGACCACAAGTTTTGCATTTAGAAATTTGCTCAAATTACAGTAATAAGGACGAGCATCATTTATACCGGTTTTAAGTGGATCCACAGAAGTTAGTCAACTTCTGTTCCTTAGTAAAATACTTTGGAATGTCACTCATATTACACAACTTAAGGCCTAGATAGACAAGTTACAATTGACTAACATAACAACTGTTATCCATTGAGGACAAACTCATGAAATGAGTGCACCTTCTACATAAAAGTCAATAAAAGCCTACAGTATTACAGCAATTCATGATTGTGCTTACCCCGACTAAATGGTTACAGAATTGTATCTGATAATCTTCTGAAGATTAAGACTCATTCATGCAGGAAGAAAAGTTAGTAAACACGGAGACACAGAAGCAGCACCTACAGTGGGTCGTTTAGTAATCGGCGAAATATTTTCTATTAATCATATTCTCAGCTAATATGCTGCTTTGAAGACAAAGACAAACAACGAATAAAATGTTGGCTATCCATAAGTAAAAATTAAATTTGCACTATAAGTAAAAATTAATGAAAACATGGTGTGCGAAGTACAGTAGAATGAGATGCTCATCGGTTTCATCGACAAAAATAAATGGTTTCCATTAATGACTCATTGAGAGACCAGCAGGCCAGATATCATTAAATTGTAAACACATCGTCAATTTTGAAATGTTCTTCAAGAAACTAGCAAACTTTCCGAATGGACGTCAGTTTGCAAGAAAGGAAAAAGAAAAAAAATGCAAGGTTCACTATTCTCTTCCCCAAATAAATTATTTCTTTAATTGTGCAGCATTTAGAAGGCTTAAAAATGACTAGTTAGGCACATGAACCGATTGGAATGCAGTGTAGATTGTCAAGATTATTCGGGAGAGAAAAGTGACAACAAATTTCTCAAATTTTGGTTTGTAGCATTATTCAGAACTTGCTGTGAGAATCAGTGTTTTACTTCATCTTTCCCACCATTTTACGGGCGTAATAAATGCGCATTTTGTGCATTACTGATAATCCAATTTTAGGTACACGAAGGAAGACAGTGCGTGCCGCCGTTCCGTTTGTTCCAATGCTGCATCCAAAACAGTTGCAAGAGATGGAGCAATCCCCGAATTTACCGCGAAGGGCTAGTGCACATGTGATACTCCCGGTACTATTATCTGATACCTCACAAACTTGATCAGAATTTTAGCTGATATATCTGGGTACATATCCAAAAGCAACTAATAATTGGCGTTAAAAATTTACTTGTTTTATGTTTAATTACAAGATATTGTAGTTAGAACATGCAGATGTAGAAATCGGCTGCCGTTATGTATCAATATGTATTTATAAATCGATTAGACAATGCGTTACATGAGATAGCTAGTGAAGTACACAAGTACAAGTCCTGTCTGACAAAATCATGCGTATAATCTGACAAATCGTTTCCCAATTTTGTACATAGTACTAAAGTTAAACTGTGTATTTGAATTAACGCGGTAGGGTAACAATATTTTGAAAATGGCGAATATTCAAATAATTAAGGTGCACTAAACATAGTCGTCTGGGATGCCCCTCAAGTCAAGTACGTGGAACGTTGATGAAGGATTTTTGGATTGGTCAAATGTGCGTGGCGTGATGGTTGCGTTTAAGGTCAAGTTAAACATTTCCACCAATCCCGGTATTAAGCAAATAAGCCTGCTTAGGTACTTGCTGCTCAACTCAAAGCGTGACAGACGCTGACAGAGCCTGCAGCTTCTAAGCGTTGTTAGGTTCTCGAGTTTAACGATATCCCTTAAATATCCTATTGATTCACCTCGGGGAGCATTATACATAAACCTACTAAATATTGGTGTATAACTTCGTAAACTGAAAGAAGTAAATGTCGCCATGAACATGGTTTACATGAAAAGGTATATTCCTATCAACATCAGCGTGCTGTTAGATGCTGACTGTCTAGAATCAAGTGGCCGCTTCAACTAGACGCAAACACTAGGTTGATGCAAGTGCGTAACCAAACTGTCGTTCTGTATATGCCCCTAAACGGAGCACTCATTTCATTTTGGTTAAACGGCAAGATGTTTATTACATTACGCTTACATTTTCTAAACCACCAGAAGAATGCATCCATACACAACGCTATTCCGTATGGCTAAATTACCTAATGATGAAACAATTGTGCAGTTCCAGTTACCTCACTAAGAGTCGAGATTCCGCAAAGTAGTTGGTTAATACAAACAAGAGTACCATAAAATCCTATACATTTGAAGTCGGGATGTATATTGGGGGGAAACATTCAGCAGCTAAAGCGCCTCCAAATTTGGCCTGTTTCAAAGTCAAAAATAGACAGAGCCACCTCAGACACTGATGCATAATTAGCACATACGACCGAAAGATAATTAATGCACATGATTTCGAATAGAACTGCAGTCTGTTGTTCTGTGGTGTGCTTCAACTTATCTTGCAAACCTGTGGACGCTGAGCATGCGTAAAATTTGCACTCTTGCAACCATGCATCCAGAATATTTACTATTCCGTAGAGTATCTACTAGCGCGCCTATTATATTGTTACTCATCTTTTTGTGCATTTACTTAAGAAACTTTTTAATGCCACAACTTTGTGTTTAAATTGAGAACCCTATTATAGTTACTTATCGTTTTGCAGTTACCGCAATCTTTTGACTCAGCGGAAAGCATCACAGGACGAGCTAGTGACAGGTCGGTTCCGAGCAAGTCGATTTTCAATTTGAGCTCTCCGCTAAACCTACCACTTCCATCCTTTTCGGGGCAAAGAAGGCACAGTTCGGATGCACCAAGAGAAAGAACCTCGCAGCAAGTACCTATTTTACATATTCAAAGTAACCAGCATTCATTATCTCGCGTGAGCAGTGAAAACACCATGAGTAATTTACAACATAGTTTAGCAGTCTCGAAAAGACAATCTCGAATGCTGGAGTCGCCTGAGATCAATCTTCTTACTGCTCGTGTTTGTGAAGGACCCTTTATTTCAGCACCATCCATCGGCATGAGTTCCAGAAGGTCATCATCAACGCGAATTGCGGAGACTGTTAACGATCTAAACATGATCCGACAGAATGTCGCGAACCAAAGCAGGCCGGTGAGTGTACTGCATTTAAAACACGTTTGTTTTAACATCCTTGACATTGCCACATGTGTCCGAAAGCCTTCTGCATGCACTACCTATATATATATATATATATATATATATATATATATATATATATATATATATATATATATAAGTACGCGCGTGCATTTCAAATTAAAGTAATGGCTTGTTTTGAGGCGAGATGTGGATCATATTCCCACGTTAATGGATGGCTAAACACTGCAAATACGTTTACATTAAGTGTTGTCATTAATTTTAAATACGACAAATAGTGAGAGCGAAGATGGAACAGGGGAATATACCTCACTGCCAGTATAACATTTTAATGCAACCTGATAATCTGTGTGCCTGACCACAGCATTACATCAGTGGATTTAATGCACCAATTATCGTCATACGAAATCCCACAGCAAATATCTTACGGATATTTGTTATGATGGTTATGCTGAATGATAGGCCCGCAGCACCTACTGGTCGATATATTCGACCATATGCTCATCAGCACCTCCTTGATGCCAAGTGCAGTCCGGTTGTTTACGCTCCGCAAAGCCTATTACTTACTGCAAAAACAGTGGCTATGTGTTTTACTAATTATCAGTTAAACAATTTAACAGTTGAACAAGTGCTTTTCTTAGCTACTTAATTATTTATATTAGGCCTAAGAGTGTGGCTAATGTATAACCTTATTATAAGAAAATTCCGAAGTTTAATGAAATTTCAGCTTAACATATATACACTTTTCATATCATCTGTTCAGCCTACCAAGCAGAAGGTGCGGAAGTAATAATTCCTCAAAATGTCATGTACTGATACGTAAATTTATCTTTAGAACCGGCAGTATGATGCGGGTGTCCTGCAACCACCAGGCTAGTAAATAGCTATTTGTTGCTAGCAGGTAATTTGTTTGTGATACGAAACAGTACTTGTTACAATTGGAGAAGAGTCAATGGGACTTCTTAGCAGTGAGATATATCATGAGAATTTCCATAAGTATTCGTCATAGCAATTATTGCATTCCATTACTCTTATAACGAGAATCACGTCGTTAGGACGATGCGATATGCTATACATTACTCAAATTCTACGTCACGCTTAGGTGTGCTGCAACTACTTGGCAAGTTTTAATATTACGCAATGGTCTTTCAAACGATTACCTGCATAGAAGAAGGTCCAAGGTGACGGTTTTCTGGATAGCAGTAAGACTTTACTTGAACTGCCTATGTGTAAATCTACTAGTAAATTCTTCATCCTTTTAAATGGTAGAACGCTCCGTACACCCTACAGGGAGCAATGAAAAACCTAATATTTTATTAAGTTGTGCAAAATCATCCGGATAAGCAATCGGTCTGGGCCTCGATTTGTCGAAACGTAAAATTTACTTAATTATATAATACTGATAAAAGTGGCATTGCAGTTGGACCACTGTAATTCGCATCTTTTGAAATTTTGCATGGATTTATAGCTGGTAATTGTATTTACGTGTATATCATCGACTAGGCACATGTAAATATAATATGCACTAAATAGTCATCATCTTTTCAAACACGCTATACTTAAGTGCGAACTACAAATGACGTAACCTACCTTGCTTGTGTTTGCTCACTGATACCTTGTAGCAACTTACCGGTGGACTTGGTGATGTACCATCTGCAAGGAAGTCCAGCTTATACGCGTTAGGTGACGCTGTGGTAAGTGATACACAATTCAATAAAGTAGTAATATATTTTTAGCAAAAGTAACGTTTGTTGCTTAAATTGTAACTACTGTAGGTGGATAATCGGAGTATAACTGTGCTTCCGGTTAAGTAAACCAAAAAATGAGACACTAAGCCTTATCCTGAAACAACAACTTAATCTTCCGTCTTGCCTTTTTTAAATTTTAATAGGAATGAGTCATATATTACACTGAAATTTTTGTGCACGCTATTTTACTTTGATATTTGTAGGTGTGTTTCAGCTAAGCTCTTGCTGTCCTTTATGTGCAATGACAAAAGCACCTAACAATATAACTTCTAGTTTTGCATGTATTTTGTGCATACAATTCAAATTCTAAACTCTATCTAAAAAAAAGAAATTTCGCATGCCATGGAACACAAGATCCCACATGCTCATCATAAACACGCATAGATATTGGACAACTTGTACATGCAAATGCTCTCTAAGCCAAGTAAAAGGATGAAATGTTCTGAGGTTCACTAGCTTAATGAAAACAAGGAAAATCGTCTTGAAAGTTTGTGGTTGAGGGCATAAGTAAAACTAGAAAAAATTACAAATTAAGGTTGCATTTAGACTAGCAGCAGAGAAACTTATTTTTTGCGCAAACAGTATAGACTGAAACGAAGGAATAACGCCATTAATTTGGAATTGTGGATATATTTTACTTTTAGTTCATGCATGAAAGCTCAGATGAAATGTATACAGCTATTTTGTTCACCTGGTATTGGCCGATTTACGTACAAACTGAAAATTCGTGTGTATATAGATTTTGCCTCAGATAGATCAGAACGACAGTTTGTTGATCATATATATATATATATATATATATATATATATGTATGTGTATGTGTGTAAATTTAGGTTGCATAAGCATATTTGTTTTGGAGAGCGGATAGTTTAGTAACATCAAACTGGATCTCGTACCTTTTTAATAAATGCAAAACTTTGATTCGATGATCAATCTACGCTTTGTTTTCTTGCGAGCAATTTAAATGGTGCAGTTAGGTAACGATATAAACTTGTACTAATTGATGATTTACCTTATATTACGCATGGATAGCATTACATTTGTACGCACATACCACCCTCAAGTAATAATGCACCTATGTAGACCATCAGTGTGAGAGTTCCTTTGATTTGTTGTTAAGGAAATAGAGCCTGTGAGCTTTTAACGCTGACATTTTACATAACCTACTCAAAGAAAATAATGAAGTAAATGAATCAGTATGCACTTTGCGTCAAAATGTCGCTGAAAAGCCAAACAAGGTGTGATATTTCAGACACAATTATTTTGTTGGAATTAATCCAAACATACGTATGTTTAATGAAATTTATCGTTTATTGCCATGCAAAACATTTAATCTCCACCGTCAATCAATTCATTATTTAAATGCGGCATGCCAGTATTTCGAAGGTACTTTTTCACATATTCCCAAAACATTCTGTAACGTGCGTTTTCTTAGTGTGCGTTGATACTGCTTTCACTGTTGCTTTGCTGATCAATATATAGGTACTAAGTAGTATGCATACTCGATATCAGACGATATTGACAGGGAATCACATCTGCCTGACACCGCAAAACATATCTACTGATCCGGTTATAGTCGTGGCATTTGTGCCATCTAGACTTTTCTTAACATCAAATTGTTTATTCGAGTTCAAATGCACCACCAGTTAAAATACCCAAGGGCACCGCGGTGGTATTACTTATTTTTTGCATTGCTTGACCCCTCCAAGTTTTCTCCGCGTCCACAACGTGGTTAACTGTTTACAACAGTTAGTCATTTCACATGACTCTCTACCCATTTAATTTCACAAGTTATTTGGCAACCTCTGAATAGCTTTGAATTTTACTGGCAATAGTCTTACATTTTTCGCAAAAACATTAGCTACAGTGTCTAATAATTCACAATTGCTCATTTAAAAATTTCATTTTTATTTATTATTATACACAGCTGGTAAGCAGCGGCAAATTGTAAGGTCCCAAAATAAAGGAAGTGTAATCTGCACCAAAATAATGTATACATAATTATATAACATAATATGTTATTAGCTGTAGTCATTGAACATTGTGGAAGCGTATAAAGACCAAAGCTTTATTTGTACTGGTGTCTATCGGTGTGATCAAGTTGGTATGGACGGTCTACATCACTGAAGACAGCAACCTTTGGTTACCTTTGGCTGTAAATAGGTTGATTTGAGAATATCCAAAACAACACAACCTAAATAACTAAATATCAGTCAGTTAACAGAACGTGTTCTTTTAACCATTGTATGTCGTAACACATATCATGGAAGTCATTGTTTCTTGTTACTTATCTTACACATATCTAAATTAGCTAGATGCGTAGCATAACGCTATAGGCATTCATATGACGTCTATGCACCGACTTCTGAATGCTCCCTAAATCAAGGAGAGTCACAAGCCATCTGTCCGTCAGGACAAAGTAGAATAAGGATCGCCGTCGATTTCCTATTCAGGGCGATAGCTATGCGCATTTGCCGATGTGAGGTGACTGTTTCATGGGTTTAACTGAGAAAGATTCAATCCTGGAATAAACAATGTGAGCGATTCATTTGACATATTTCTAATCCGTGGCGACATATCGTGATTAATGTCAAAATAGCTTCATCTTGACAACAAGAGTTCACAGTTGCAAGTCCAAAACAGGCCCGTCCACTTTAGATAGTAGTACAGACAGATGGTACTGATGTGTAAGTGAGTGAAAGCTTATGAACAAAGGACCTAAAATTTAACTATGTTCTATATCCCATAAGCAAAATCGTTGTTAGCGTTTCCGTACAAATGTTTTGGAACATCTTAGTTTCTTTACAGGCAGATGAATTTAGTGCTTGAAGGACTAGAATATGGGGGTATTTGTATGGTCAGATGAAATAAAATTTAACGGCCAAATCGCACTGGAACCACGCCTCTTGACTTTGGTGCTTATATACATATATATATACGAAATATATATATGAAATATATATGAAACACTTAGTACCTAATAATTGTCGACATTGCTATCAAATTAGGAATTCCATAGCGAAGCCGTGTGCATGAGAAGCGCATGCGAATAGCATTATCCCATTCGCTCAGCACAGAATGTAATGTTAGTAACTGTGCAGCTAGAGGTTAGAACGGTTGTGCAGTTGTGCGGGATTTCACATTTATTTTTGATGTACTGCGCACTGGCTACTAATTGTAGAGTAGTCGGCATAGATACATAAGTGCAAATTATGTTTTTTTCTCATATTTGAGCTGACTTTGCTTTCCATTGGTGAAAACTACCTTCCTAAACTAACGGCTATGAAAACGGCATCAAGTTGGCTTTCGAATACTGGAATCCTAATCCGTTTTATAGCAAAGGAAAGCTGCTGTGTTCAAGTTTTCCGACCTTGTTCCAAAACCAACTATCTGACGATATTGCGTGCACCAATAGGTTTAAGTCAAGAATTTAGCGATTGGGTTCCATCTGAACTAATTGTACCTGGCTAATTTCGGGCAGTTCGTTAAGTTAAGCAATTCCATAAGCATAGAGAGAAAACGAACACTGTCGCAAGCAATCATTCTACAGTTGCATACCTAAAGGTATATTCAAGCTAGATGAAAGTTCAAATCAAATGGTGGAATTTCAAAAGACTGTACCTGTCAGACATAAGCCGACTAATGCATATTTTGAAGACACACGGCTTGTGTCGTCAGTCTGGGCAAAACATAACGCTAAACTTACGGTAATGCGAGTCAGTTGTCTCCAGTGAGCTTGACCAGTGTTTACCTGTTATGTTGCTGTTGGGCTGCGCAAACACGGAAATTAAACGGGACAAGGATTCTGCTCAATCAACTCGCTTGAACTACATAACACTAGTAAGTTTATCCGCAAATTTAGAGATCCGTCGGTTCTAACTATGATACTATATCTGCCGTCACAAACGAATTGGTTTATGAAGCCTGCAGTGACACCGATTAACTGAGCTTCCTTCATTAATAAGTTTAGCACAACTGGCATACAGGCTGAAAAGAACTTTTCGGGATTAATAGTTAGTCTATCTGGCCCGTAATCTTGTTGCGACGAAATCATTTACTAGGTTAACATATCCTACTTGTTAGTGAGCTGCCTTCAGTAGGACAAGAGCAAATTAAAGATGGGTGTAATTGATAGTAAATATATGCATTGCAGTGCAAAAGCTCAGTGGCATTTAACACAATGAAAGCACCCTTGTTATGTTATCTCATGTACCCGTTTTCTTGGCTGCATTATGCGCTAAGTTCTTCAGCTTGCGCGTTTGGTTGTGCATTCCAACAAATGTGTCAGTTGTGTCATTTAAAATAAGCGTAATTGTACTAAACTCTAGCTCGTCGATCAGAAAACCAACCAAGCAACTGCGTCTAATATGAACAACTAACGTCTTTCTGGCGTTTGATAATACGACATTGGTTTTAGCAACGAAGAAATGGTGTAAAAATGGTACTAACCCTATGATGGACAAGTCCCGTGTAATGGTCAGGGTAAAAGTACCTGCCATAAAGCAGTGTAGTTAGAATAGAATGCGGGAAACGTGACTCACCAGGATGTTTTTTGGAGCATATTTGTAAGCATTTCTGCCGGTTGTTTAGGAGGGTGATGACAACGACCACTGTTTCTTCGGTATAAGCACCATCATATAATAGTCATTGGATTTACCAAGCAGTGTAAATGTGTCCAGGTATTGTCAAGGAAATTTCTGGATAGTATTTTGTCATGGGCAATTGTTGCATGTGCAGCGAGTGAATTCCAGGTTTATGGCGCTAATAAGAAGAAAGTGATTTGTACTGCTTGACCAACTTGAAGTGATGACCCCTAAGGTTTGTGGTTTGGTTAAGTTTCAAAAGATGACTGCAAATGAGATTGGCTTTTATTATCGGATTCATTCTAAAATCATTCGTAAAGGCCGAGAGCACCCACCATTCACTTTTCAAGTTTTCAGCCTGAGTGTGTAGGAAAGAATAAACAAACCTCTGAAGAATTTCGCTATCTTGCGTTGTGCAATATCAAGTAGAGTGGGGTGGAGTTTCTGTCAAGGCTGCCACGCTTGGGTAGCATATTCCGCATGCGGCTTAACGTACAGCCAAACATTCTCGGAAAGAAGAAAGCGTCGAAATTCCCCACCCGTCTACGAAGTAGGCCAAAGTGTTGGTTTGTTTTCTTTGACATATCTTCAGTCTGCATTAGACCACCAATGTCAGCTTGCAGGAGCACACCGATATTGCAATCATGAAGAGCGCGCTATAGAGCCGGTGGTCTTAGCCGGCACTTGTGGGTAATCCGATGGCGCATGCTCAGAATTAGATATTTGATGACCTTGAAGTTGTACATGTTCTCAGTGAAACCTGCGTGGGCTTTATACAGATCATCTTATTGTACTGTTTAGTTATCCCCTGTAAAGCAAGCACTCCATATCCTTAGGTCATCAGCAAACAGTAGGCGGTTTGAAGATAGTTCGCTTGCGAAATCTTTTATGAGAAACAGGCACACGCGGGGCTCGAATACCGAGCCCTGAGGTACCCGGCTCCAGAATCTTATTGGTTCAGATATTGTGCTACAATCCCTCACATTCAGGCTGTGTTGAACGAGAATGTCGCCTATACAGCGCAGAACGAGATCACCGATTCCACTGGTCTGAAGTTTGTGCAGTAGAATGTAGTGATCTGGAAGGTCGAACGGCATTTAGAAATGAGGATAGACACATCGACTGCTACACCAGCATTCACAGATTCCATATTGCATACATGCGCTATCAAAATGTTGGTGGTACATGACCGGTTAAGGCAAAGATGTGCCGCTAAGACTTGAGAGTTTCATTGCTCTCTGGGTACCACATGAGAGCTTCAGCTACTGTGGACTCCATGACCTCGGAGATTTTCGCAGTGTGATCGGGCCATAATTTGCTGGTTCTGCACAGCTATCACTTTTGTAGACTGGAGTGATGGTTCTGTGCTTCCGCACCGTCAGAATCTGTATCTCGCTGGAAATTATTGAAAACTATTGCTAACTGTTCAGCTGAACTCATAGAAGCCACTTTATAATGCCTACGGATAAATGCTGTTTTCAGCTGGAGAGCTGTACTCGCACAACAACAAGCAGCCTCAATGTATGTGTGTTTGAAATGGATGGACAGCTTAGAGCTGATGCCGACATGACCTGCGTATCACGTTGTGAGATGTTTGTGTACTCCCAGAGTGCATATGTTTGAACGGACCGTGTTTCATTTATATGGACAGGAATTTTAATTACTTACTATCCGTGTGATTGAGAAAGTTGACCAATCATGACAGCTAAATTACCTTTACGTTCTAACTCGATCCCCATTTTTGTGTTTGCCTGATGGAACTGCTCCACTATATCCGCCTTTTTCTGCTTCAGAAAAACAACAGAGAGTAAATCATCCACCTTGGCTATTTCTATTGATACAACTACATATAATACGAATATAGGGAAATCGGCGAGTACGTTTATCAGTGGGTCGCCAATTGGCACGCCTTAGTAGTAAAGTAACTGCTGTCGCTTTAAGTACACAATAGCAAGTATTTCTTTTAGAAAATTCGGTAAAATTGACAGAAATAACAGGAACGTTCTGTTAGTTTGCATATGCATTTATCAGTTTGATACACTGAGGCATAAGTAAACAGTGGTTCCATAGCAAAGGGACATATAAAATTGACTGACAGGTAAATGTTATTGAAGTTACAAGTAAATTAAAAACTAGCATTACAGTTTACGTCTTCGCCAGTTGTTGATGCGGTAAATGCATCTGCAGCAACCAGTCAGCCCGTGTATGACCAGCGCATCTTTCACTGATTGTTCCGTTCTGAGTAGCATTCAGTTTGTGTACGTCATCAGTCACACCTAATGCAATGGAGTAGGTCTGCCATTAGGCTTCACATGATAAAGCAGAAGCGTATACATGACTAAGCGCACGATACTTATAGTATAAAAAGCAATTAATACCCCAAGTAAAGCAAAACCATGTAATTTAACTTCAAATTCATGTTAGCTATTTGACTCCGTGTAAATATGAGAATTATACTTCAAAGTGCCGGGGCAATTTTGTGGGCTCTTTAAACTATCGCTAATATTGATCATCATATTACAAATCGGCAAACCTATGTTGGGCGCTGATGTTTTTTTAAGTATATAGTGTCTGAATTCAATCAACCACAGTAGTTTAATTATTTCTGCTTACAACTGAAAAGGTAAAGTTGAAGGATATTCACAGCTGTGGATTGTGTATTTCTACCCGTTTTATTACATCATCGGTTCGACGAAGCGTTCAGAACAATTAAAGGATAAGTCAACAAAATTTAGCATTTTTAAGAATCACATGCCACAAAACATAGCTGCTGGCTCTGTATGGCAACTAATTCTGCATATCACACTTTCATGACCAATTCTTTTTAATATTAGGTAACTGCAGCGGAGGTACATGACAAGTCTCTACTTTCCGACGACAGATAAATGTAGATGTCACAATATTAATTGAATTGTAAGATTCGTCTTATGTCCTGTTAAGTGGACAGATATTAAATTACCCTCAACTACCTATTCGGTTATAAAGGCCAAAAATTAAGGACTTCAGAATTATGCTCCTTATTTATGCATCTTAATTAGCTAACGGTGTCTTGGCAGAATAGACGTGGTATTAGTCGTAGACATTCAATTCGAAAGTAAGATTTATATAAAAGAAGATTTTATAATCTGCACGGATAAACAAAGTACAAGGTAGGTTATACTATTCAGATGTGCTTACTGTAGCCAAATTAGATCACGCTTTTCTCTAATCTTTGGGCCGCGTTTGATATTGATTTCCTGGTCTGTACTAATAACACTTACTTGTTCTTGCTCAAACGCAAGATAGCACGTACACCATGCGGAACGACTGATTTTAAATTTTGACCTTAAATAGGATCGCCATTGGTCACAATTACTTAAATGTTTGATTTATTAATCCTACATTACAGAAGAGTCTACTGACAAACACAAAATGAATAACACAAATGAATAACACAAAAGGAATAACGTGTGGGACCATCGAGGACATTACTGCGGAAGTCCAATGTACAGCTAAATTGCTGCTGGCAATAATTTGGTTGCTAGAGGGACTACACTGCTTCGCAGGACTTGCATTTCAAATTGCGCTACATGCTTCCAAAGACACCAGTGAACATGTTTGACATATATACATGCAGTTCACAAAATTTGAGGTTTGCTTGTTTGATATTTTGTTGTTTGCAATTTTTGAAGTATTGTATAAAATGCTTACCATGTGCGCACTGTCGGATGTCAATTTTGCACATCAAATGATCTGTGAAACGCAGTTCACATCAGCACGCAACACAAATGTCAGTACGAAGTGGTTTATGTTACCATTCAGCATTTGTAAAGCATTTACATTTGTACTTTGTTGGTTGCTGAAATTTGCTTTATCTCATACACACAAATTTACGTTGTTCCTTTGGGAAGTAAAACGGGCTAATTTTGTTAACCAAAACAGATGTCGGGAAAAATGTCGTTCAACAGTGCCAATAGCGTTGAAACCTGAAGTTATACAAAAAAATAACCAACTATGCTCGGTGTAAAATGTGACGAATCTGAAAGTGAGAACAAGAAAACAGTTTGTAAACTTCTTTTCTCTGGTTGCTTTTTTGTAGTCTAACTTGTACACCGTGGAGCAGTTCTGTAATTTTCTTCTCGTCATCTTTCCATGTCCATGGTGAAGGGAACAATAGCTTATAATTCCAGGCAGAGGCATATGCTCTTATTCGATCTCCGAAAATACACCAGTAGCTGCGAAATCACAAAAATTGCTATAATCCAGTAGGCCACATGGACTGCGAAGTCACTCAGGTAAACCGGTTGATACATTGAACAATGCACTCCCTAAACTCACATGAATCCAAGAGGAGCTGGACAGCTTCAAAATAAAAGTTGCATATTTTAATCACTTGGCGACAACCCATAAAATACTTGAAACTATGACTGTCTAACTGCAAGCTACAGCAAGCACAGACAAAGAACATCTAACACTCGCCGGTATCTTCATCAATGATGTTGCGGCAGTGTTAAGTAGCGAAGGATGTCCGACAATCCAATGGTCTTTATATTTGCCCTATAAACTCCAGCAGAAACGATGCAAAAATCCTGCACAAAACAGGTTGTATGGGACACTAACGATGTTCCATAAAACCTTCAGCGCAAATACTGTCCCGTATTCTTTCAGTTTATCAATGAAGAGACGACGAAGGAATTACTCAAAAGACGTACAGATATCAAAGCGAACACGCTTTAGAACATTAAAGATCCCAAAGTAGAAAGTGCTCTTGCAAATGAAGGTCAGCTAACGCCGTAATCGAAAGTCTCTCGAGCAACTAGTTCCAAAATAATTACTGCACAAATGTCGCAACTTGACAACATGGTGAGTCCAATCACTCTTAACTTTAAGCCGATTAAACACAACGGAGTCCCAAGGGATGGATTAGCTACTCTCAAGATCAGTGTGGCTATTAATACAACTAAAGCATTGGCCGAAACCACTATTTCCAGTGCCAAAACTTCTAATCGTTCTTCGAAATAAGAATTTTTTGAAAGAAGTCAAACTAAGAGTTACATGGCCATTGAAAGTAGGGGTGCATCTTGTGCTGCACATGTAGGCGATCAATATACAATGACAATAGAACTGTCCGTCCAGTTTGGGAAGTATTTACTGCACTCATAAATCGTGTTATCCCAACTTGCAGATGTCATTTTCGACGATTCCGGATACACATTGGGTGACCAGATTGAGTGCAGCCTAACTAGACATTTGCCTTTGTATTATATATGTTCACATTATCATCACTACTCAGCAGCAAGTATTTTAACCATCATATTTTGTAAAGATAGTAATAAAGTTACCCACCAATTAGCGGATAGCATACGAAGAAGAATATGGCACAGTGTCCGATTATCGGACATATATCTAACGGGCATATCTAACACTCCATTTACGGCTAAAACAAACATGATTTCGAAAGTAATGCAGGCTACATACGTAACAGAGTGTTCTCTCACCTGAATGTCGCTCCATAGCAACCGTTTTCACCTACTGGTTTACCAGTACTCGACCGGAACATAGGCCTTCCCAAATACGTAGAACCTCTTTGGTCTATCTGGAACACGTGTCCACTGTCACCCTGCATTATAGGTTATTCCGATGCTTACGAGCATTACCTCATCTCATCCGTCGCTTATTCTAAATCCCCAACATCTTTCAATTAGCGGAGGTGGCTACGACGCCAATAGGAGAACTTCTGGTGCATTAGAGCACCCCGCATCCCCAGTTTCATCTTATTCACTAAGCTGTAATTTCTGCGAATACAGTGGATGGCCACAGGATTTTAATGCCAGTATGGCTTTCTGCATCCATACAACTCCCCTTGACCTACCCATATTCTGCCGGCTCAAAAACTAGGCTAAAACGCGCAGTTATAGACATGCATTTAACTAAACCTCGTTCCCTAAAAAACTGAATGCATTCGCTCCCTCTTGTTATATATTTGCTGAACTCTCTTATGGTTCTCATTGTCGGAACGTGGTTTACTGATCAGGCAACATTACCGGATCGCAGGATATATTAGTCTCACTAAGAGCTGATGCAATAGCGAGGGAAGTGGTTGCGCTTGACTCATGGAGGCAAAAATCTCTCATCACCTTCGGTTGAACCTAAGCTAAAAATATTTGCCTACTCTTTTTAGATAACGGCAGTGAACAATTAGTGCATCTTCCCCACAGACTGCAACTACAGTCCTTCACACATTTGCTAAAATGAAGCTCGACTTCTCGTGGGGAATATTGGATTGCATAGCGGACCATCCGTCTAAGTACTTACCAATAGGCGGGAACTTTAATATGGTAGAGGTGTCGAGGCGCAACTATACTTCCACACCTACACTGTTTGAATTTGTTTCCACTGTTTTCTGACAAGGCTGATCACGACACGTTTCGTCGCCAAAATGAAATGACAATATCCTAGATATTGTCTCCACTTTGGGAACTCTCGATGGGAATTTCAAGAGATCCTGGACAAATTTCCGGGCATTAAGCAAGACGTGGTACTAGTTTACTCTACTTACATATGCCATATCGCCGGGTCAACTGCGACACATTCGCAAAGCTATTAAGGTACGTAAGTTGGGAAAACTCTTCATGACATGCGACCCAGAAATTGCCGCCAACATCTTTATAGCAACAAATGTTTAGTAACTATCACTATAGTTTTGCAGAATAAACACCCTATAATTACAGCAAACTTTCACACTTAGCAAACGGAAAGTCAGTAAAATGGTAAGAATTTGCATGAATTTCCATGAGTTTACTATGATATATCACGCCTATAATATACTGTGCAAGTTAAAGTCCGACCTAACTGAGAAACAATGTTATGAAGAGTATCGAGCTATCTTATACGCGGTCAAACTGAAGTAGCATATAAATCTTCTCAGCAGAGGATGATACCAAAGCTATTGTATCATTTTCATCAAATTCGCAAACTCCAGGTCAACGAATGATCTCTTAGGTAGCATCGATCTTAACAACCAGCATTTTGGTCGTCCTTCAACAGAATTAAAAATTAACAGCATAACGTGCCGTCAGAACATACCAGAGAAAGTAAACCTTCCGATAGCAGAAATAGAAAAATCGCCTAACGTCATTAAACAGTTTTTGAATGATTATCCTTATGTCACTCGGCCAGCCATGGTGAAATACAAAAGTCTGGATTTCCCTATGCTTTTGATAAACATATTTACCCTGTCAATGGAAGCCTACAGTATACCGTTTCAATAGGAACACACAATGTTTTTCCAAGATATACAAAGATATCCAAACGGAATTGAACTATGAAACAACGGTGTTTTCTGAGTAAAAGGTTGTGCTTAACCAATTACGCAGAATGAAGAAAATATTGCGAAAATAAAAATTCATGAATAATTGAAGGGCGTTTTGTTAAACTCACCATAGACTTATGTAGAACGGCGGAGAAGTTCGCGTGTTAAATCTACAAATCCACAAATCTAGTGGTTAAGAATTTTGTAAGGCGCTGCTTGATTTCTCTTTGTAGCCCTTGCCAATCAAGATTTTATTGTTAAGTAGTAAACTGAGATTCAAATGAGACAACGCATCCTGAGTTCGGTTTTGCGTACCGCCAAATCGGAAGCAGGAGCGTTCCAAGGCTGGCAGACGTGGAGGGAAAAGTAGTTTCCACTGCATTCAAGCCGGCTATACTGTATTGTCAGTTTCAAAGGATGACCTCTTAGTAGATTATCGCGGTTCAATTCCAGAATGGGGTGGCAAAAGTCCTCTGGATTCCTCAGAATCTGGTTAACCGTTATGATGTCCCCCCGCAAACGCCGATATCGAGCGTTGTACGTTCTTAGATATTGTAGTTTAATCTGATAGGGCAGATGAAATAAGCCCCTGAGGTTCTTGGTTACCCTTCCTTGAGGAGTCTCGGCCGCCACAACTGTGATACATACTCCACGTGCGGCCGCAAGTATGCGTCATGAATTTGGGGGTAGACTGAATGTTCAAACCGACCGAACGCTTTGCGAAGTAGGTTGAAGTGTTGATTAACGGTTCTCGACGCCTTTCTGTTTGTTTTGAGCATCCGAGATTATCCTGCACCAGTACATTCAGGTAACGCTCCTGAGAGGCCCCTTGCAAGGTATAATCTCCAAGCTGAAACGCTCACCGACTGGTGACGCAGGTGGATCACCTTGCACATGCATTGTTCAACTGAAGCATGTTCCTCTTTAACCATTCACAAATGCAATCTAGGTCAGTTTGGAGTAGATCGTGATCATTTTGGTTTTTAATCGCCCGCCATATCATGAAATCATTGGCAAAAAGCAGAAACACTGAGGTAACTTGACACCTCATTGATAAACATCAGGAATAAGCACGGTCCCAGCACAAAACACTGTGGGACACCACATTCTACCTCCATCAGCTTAGACAGTGATCCCCTAACACGCACTTGAAGCTTCCGATGGTGAAGTATGTTGCCAATCCAACGAAGAACAGGATCTCCGATTCCGTAGCTTTGAAGTCTGTGAAGTAGGATGCGGTTATCTAGATTGTAGAAAGCTTTGGAGAACTATAACTGAGTGAAAATAACTTCAGCCCCATCATCCGTCATATCCGTCTAACTACTTCGTGTCATTAGCAGGTTGGTGGTGCAAGACGGCTGTTGCTGGAAACCATGTTGCTTCGGTAAAAGAACGTTGCATTTTCCAGGTAGTCCATTAGAGCGTCAGCGACGACCGCTTCCATCACCGCGAGCACATGGATAAGAGTCAATGTGCGACAGCATGCAGGATCTGAACGACTAAAACCTTTTAAAATGAGATCGATAGTACCACGCTTTCACATACTGGGGTCTTTCAGTTCAGAGAAGCACTTAAGAAGAACCGTGTCAATGGTTCAGCTAGCTTGGTGGCCTCAAACTTCAGTGTTTTGAAGCGAATGTTGTCTGCTGCTGGAGAGGTATCATCGCGCAGTGAGAGCAATTTCCTTAGCACAAATGCTGGACAGAAAATTAATTTCGTGAAACATGGTGTTTCGGTAATGTGCAGGAGCTTATGGAACAGACAGAGGCTTGCTAGTTCGAAATTGTGGGCTTATTGTAGCTGCAGGGCATTGGCTGCTTTTTTGGCGGTCCGTTCTCTACTGTTTTGTGAAAACTGGAGGGATGCCATGCACCACTAAAAGAACATTGTTGGCATGTCTGGAACTTTTATTTTCCAGGAAATTTCGGTTAGACACTGTTGAAAAATCATGTTGTCCTCACTGGCAAAAGCAGTGCAATGGTTGTGATTCGTCAGCAAAATGCCCCAAGTCTCTGAATTGGGTTACCTTGTAGGCACTCCTTGCTGCATCACTCAGTGCCCTGCAATTTCGAGTCTGTTGCTTAGAATGAAAGACATTTTTGCGGGACGAAAGGGCTTGGGATCTAATGCTCCTTTGACCATGTCGCTGAGTCTTTCAACGCGATCTATCCATACCTTGTTAAGTGTGTGATGGTAGTAACAGATAAGAGGGCGCATTTAAACTAACCGAGCTAGCCAGACAGCTCATGAAAGGCGGACGTGACAATTCGATTTCCGTACTAAGATTCGTCGATATTCGTGTGAGTGATGGAATGTTTGTTCAACTGAAGCAAAGGATGAAAATCAGTGAGTCAGAAAGGTCTTAGTTATAGACTCAAACCTGCAATTTATATCGAGTAGGTTGGCTGGATCGAATTGCTGTTAT